TCAAGTATTTAGTATTAGTTGTGCAAATGTATTGACGAGGATGACATAGGATTAAGTGCAGGTGGTTGAAGTGGAGAGAAGCCTCTGGTGTGTTATGCGATAAAATAATTCCAATTGGATTGAAAGGTAAGTTCTATAAGAATGTATTAAAACCAGCTATGATGTATGGTTTAGATGGTTTGGTCATGTTATGAGGAGAGAGGGATTCAGAAGCTATAAGAACAATTATGGAAATTATTTTTTTATTAAGACCAAAAAAGAGATGGAGGGATGTTATTGAATGCGATATGAAGACGGCTGATGTGAGCGTAGATGATGTGGGAGATCGTATTAAGTGGAAATTTAGGATATGGGTGGCCGACCCTAAGTAGTTGGGATTAAGGCGAGGAAAATATAGAAAAAAATATTTCTGTCAATAAATGATTCTATGGCTTCTTGTTTTAACATTTCTATGGTATCTGTTTGAACGCAGCGCCCGGTTCGTTAACGTTTGTGGTTTTGTTTTGTCTTAAGTTTTTAGCTATGTCGAGGATAAAGAATAAGATAAGTGGACTGTATGTTTGAATTTAGAATGAATTTCACAAGACATAATTATAAAAATTAAATATATTATATAATAAATATAAAATCTTATATACAGCAATGTGGATAGGGGGGACACTTAATACTAATGCCACTAAGGCGATGATATAAGCAAATAATAAATTATACAAGTGAGTCTTAGAAAGATAAATGAACAAACATTATACTTATCTGCTAAATGAAACGGCTGATGATAATATTGAATATTGAAAGGATTAATCGAAGTCGAATACAAATAGCTGATCAAAGTGTACAATATGCTGTCAACGATATTGTATCTCAGGAAATAAATAGACCCAACGGCAATAAACTGAGCGCACAGGGTATGACAATCGCAAAGGTGATATTTTCATTTTACAGTAAAACAAATACAAAACTACTGGCTCGAAAACGCCATAGAGGTTATAACAGAAGAAGCGTTAAGATGGCTGTGACAATGTTAACATTGAGAGAAAACCGACAACAACTCGATGTAACACAACGATAACATGAATAATCAAAAACACATTTTTTTGGCAGCATATTCGATCGATGTGTATCCAACATACTCCCAGCGTTGGAAGATGAATTCTTCTAAAATGTACAAGAGAGAAAATAATAATAATAACAAAAGAAACATAATAATAATAATGAAAAATGAAAATGGAAAGTCTAAAGTAGAGTAAATATGCATGGTTACTCTGCAATTCGCGATAAAAACAAAACATAAGAAATATTAAAGGCATAAGTAAAATAATAGGAGCAATGATGTTAATTGTCAACAGACAGTTTGGTAATTATGACGACGGGCTGTTTGAATTCGCCGTCAATCGTACGCACCGTAACTATACGCACGACATTGTCGGAACCGGGTTGTACTGAGACTACACGTCCCATACGCCAATTCGTCGGTGGTCTGTTTGGAGCTTCTACAATAACCAAGTCGTTGACTTTAATGTTGGGTTCCTTGATGTTCCATTTTTGACGTCCCTGCAATGTCATAATATTCACGGGTCCACCTCTTCCAAAATGACTGGTGGAGTTGGAGTAATAATTGCCAACGAGTGAGCCGATTGATGGGTATATGATTGAAATCATTCTCAGGCAGTGAAACTAACGATTGGCCGATTAGGAAATGGCCCGGTGTAAGAGCTTCCAAATCATGCGGATCTGTTGACGTTGGCGTAAGTGGCCTTGAATTCAATACACCCTCAATGCGTACTGTAAGCGTGTTGAATTCTTCAACCATAAGAATTTGCATACCAATAACTCGTTTAAGATGGCATTTAATGCTTTTAATAGCAACCTCCCATAAACCTACCATGTGTCGTGCGGCGGGTGCATTAAAGTGCCAATTGCACGGAGCACGTGCTGTTAATTGTTGGCGTACAGCAGGATTGTCAAATAATGATTTCATTTGACGGCTGTATAATTTGTACCACAGTCTGAATATAAGTAATTCATTAGAACACGTCGCGCAACGAACTGGTCCAATGGTGCTAAAAACGCTTCGGAAGATAAGTTTGACACTATTTCAATATGTATGGCTTTCACTGCCATACAAACAAATAATGCTATATACACCTTTGTTGTGTGAGAATTTCTTCGCCTACACTCTTTTACCATAGATGGTCCACCATAATACATACCAACTTGCATAAAAACACGCTGAAATTGTACGCGTGGCGTGGGCAAATCACCCATATACGGTTTAGGGTGGCTAGATTTATACTGAGTACAAGTTATGCATTTAAATATGCACGGACGTAGTGCATCACGCGCGGAAAGGATCCAAAATCGCTGTCTTAATGCAGAAACAATAAATTTGCATGTAAAAAGGCAAAATGGTAATAATTAATTGAACGCTGTAGTTTTGCTAATTACGAGAAGCGCAATAATAGATAATCATCAGTGTGCCGCGGACAATAAGTGAAACGGATTTAGTAGGTTTTACGTCAGGCAAATTGGCAGTGCTCAAAGGCGTAAATTTCGAGTGCGACCATTCACCTTCAAGTAGATGTAAAAATGATCCATGTCCTTCGCGCATGTCTCACTCGAGTAGACAACGTATCGACAAATATGGAGATGAAGTGAGCCCGTATGTAATAGTAAGCAGCTTAAATTCTTGGACTTCGTGATCGAGGAATTGTCGCCATAAGATATCCGTCTTGTTTTATCACTGCGTGATGTGGGATAAAATATTTGCAAGGTCGCGTAGCGAGTTTCATGTAACCGAGCGACAAATATTCATTTATAAATTTGCGGTACGCATCGTATAAATCTGCATTTTTAGAAAGACGTTGTTCGAGATTATATAATCTTTTGAGAGCTAAATTACAAGATTCACCGAGCCCGTGGTTGAGCGTAGGTGCATTCATGTCAGCGGTATTTTTATTACACCCCACAGAAATCTCGTCTTTGAACGGTAGCGCCTGTTTGATCAGCAGTTGACGAAGTAAATGGCGCAGGTTAATCCATGTGCAAAATAATGTGGTGTTTTTTCTCGCATTTCTTACACGCTAAGTTTATAACGCATGACGATGCAAAATGACCCGGTTTAGACAAGAAAAACATAATTTGTGCGTAGAAACATGATCATGCCTTTTCTGAACAGAAATTTTTTGAAAAGTATAGCACCGATAAAGGGGGTGTGCACCCTTTTGACAATAAGAACACTGAATTTTATTTTGAACAGTAGGCTCTAGATTATTAGACGCGACGGTGGTTAATGAATGTTTCGGCGACTGTGAATTCTTCTGTACCGAACGCGAAGCGGCTAGATTAGAACCTTTAAGATTTTCCAAAATTTTACAATGTTGCTGAACAAATTTCAGCAAGTCATTCACAGAAGGAATAATCGATTGCGATATACTGTCTTCAAATAGGTGCCTTTTTGTGTTATCCAGTACACAAGAAGTAATATAGAAAAGCAAAATACCAGACAGTAGGGTAATTTAGGGGATTCTGGTTCCCCCCCGCCTCACCCCTTCACCCACCCACTTGTCGCGGGGGAGG